GTTCACGTCCGACACCTCCAGCACCAGCTCCGCCTCGCTCCACAGCGCCGGCCTGCCCCGGTCCCGGGCCACCACCGTCACGCGGTGCTCGGACGCCTGCTCGCGGTCCAGCGCGCTCGCCGTCACCACCTTGTACGAGCCGCCCGACGACGCCACGATCGACAGCGGCGCCTCTCCCGACAGCTCGCAAGACACCTCACCGTTCTCGCCCGAGTCCCGATCCTGAATTTTCAGCAGGGCCACCACGGTGCCGGCTGGCGCGTCCTCGGGCACCGGGCTCGACAGTGACAGAATCGTGATCTCGGGCGCGTTGTCGTTCACGTCCAGAACTTCCAACTCCACCTTGCAGTGTGCCACCAAACCCCCACCGTCCTTTGCTTCTACCAACAGAGTGTAGCCTCGCGTATCTTCGAAATCCAGAGCCTCCTGCATCGTGATCGTCCCGGTTTCAGCATCCATCACGAACTTCTGAAGTACCTTGGCTGGCGTTTCACCGAAGCCGTAGGTGATGTGGGCGTTGGTGCCGGCGTCAATATCTGAGGCGGAGACCTTCAGCACCGTCGAGCCCGGAGATGTGTCCTCCCGCAGGCTGGCGCGGTACTGGTCCTGCGTGAACACGGGTGGGTTGTCGTTCGCGTCGGTGACATTGATCCAGAGCTGGGCAGTGCTGCTCCGCGGCGGGTCTCCGCCATCCAGAGCAGTCAGCACCAGCCGCAGGGTCTGCTCGCTCTCCCGGTCCAGCACATGGTGCAGAACCAGCTCTGCGAACTTTTTACCGTCCTGGCTCTCTTTCACCTCCACTGCGAAGTACTTATTGGCTTCCAGCTCGTAGGCCTGCAGGGAGTTGCTGCCCACGTCTGCGTCCTCGGCCACGCCCACGGCAAATCGGGCGCCGGGAGAAGTAAACTCGTTAATCTCCAGCTGAAATTTGTCTCGCACAAAACGCGGAGCATTGTCGTTCACGTCCTCAATGGCCACCTCGATGTGGAAAACATTGAGCGGGTTGTGCACCAGCGCCTCGAAGCTGACAGAGCAGGACGCCGACTCGCCGCACAGCTCCTCCCGGTCCAGCCTCTCGCTCACGTACAGGTTCCCGTTCTCCTCGCTCACCGTGAAGTATTGCTTCTCCTCGCTGAGCCGCAGCTTGCGCGCCGACAGCTCGTCCGGGCTGAGCCCCAGATCCCGTGCCAGCGGCCCCACGAGCGAGCCTGTGGGCAGCTCCTCGGGGATGGCGTAGCGGAGCCGCTCCGGCGCCGCCCGGCAGCACAGGCACAGCAGCACAGCGGGCAGCAGCAGCGCTCGCCCGCCGGCCGGCCCGCGCCTCTGCCTCCGCCCGCCCGCCAT